CCCCAAAACCCCAAAACCCCAAAACCCCAAAACCCCAAAACCCCATAATTGTTTTTCTCTGTTGAAAGTGTAATAAAGTAAGTATAGTGTGATTAATCATCGCTCACACTCTCATTGTTTGGGTCATCATAGCTGTTATGAGCATGGCTATCAGATACGCCCATTTGATTACCTGAATCTTCATATTGCTGTTGAATATTCGATCTGTATTGCTCTCTAATAGCTTTTTTAAATTCTTCAATCATAATGATGTCATGTCTATTTTGTAAAGCCATGTGAGGAGCATATTCGCTGACTTCAGCTGGGATCCATGGGCATTTTTGGGTGTTATTATAGCAATACGAAAGATTCACCATTTCATCAAGTGCTACAATTACTTCTGCTGTGACCCAAGATTGTCCCATGGCTTTAACATCAAGTTTCTTGCCGATATAGTTCTTTGAATCATACATATCATCATCTGAATCATACTCATGTTCATAAGTCACAATTTCTCCTTTTCTAATATCTTCAAGTCTTTTAATCTTATACTGAGAATTTGCAGTTTCTTTTGTGTAGGTCTTTATATGGTGGCTATTCTTAGATGTAGTTGGATTCTTCTTCATCCATTCTATGATCCATTCCCATTCATCAGAAGTAGCAGCAAGATATTCAGCCACAGCTCTGCTTCTGTTACACAGTTTTACCAAGAAATCAGTGAACCTTCCAACGAAAGCTGGGAATTTTGCATTATTTTCAATAATTTGGATGAATTCCTTGATTCCTTCTACTAGTCTATTCTCTGTATTTTCATCCTGAATCATTAAATATTTCTTGAATATAGGGAAATATGGCTCTATTTCATCAAGTTGCTTGTCATTTATTTCTTGGATCATTAATCCTTTAATTTTAGTCTCAAGACTAGGAACTGAGGCCATAGCATGAATTAAGAAATCTCCAATAAATCTAGTGCAAAGCTTAGTCGTACAAGTCTTAATCAGTGCTATGTAATCAGCTTCTTCAAGTGTACAAAGTCTCAAATCAGATTCATCAAGTTCTTTGAATCTTATATGATCAATGAAAGTCTCAAGATCGGAGGATTCCCCAATTTGGCAAGATCTAAAACAGAGACTGAGAGTTTCCCATATGTAAGTGTAGTCTTGCGCACCGTCTGCAATGGCAGAATCTCTCTTTTTCATCATCATTTCTTCCCAAATAGAGATATATGCATTTTCGACACTTGTTGGTAAACCAATGTCTGGGACTAAATTTTCTTCGTAGATCAGACTAGTATCGCCAATGAACTGATCTGAATCTGGACTTGAGTCTTGAAGGTAGAAGTTAGTGATTCTTGTTAATATCTTTGCTTTTAGAAGATAAATCCTTGCTTCAGGCCCAAGTCCTGCAAACTTAGCAATCAGGTTAAAATATTGAGGATTATTTTCAGTATATTTTCTCATCTCTTCCATGTTACAAAGCAGCAGATTAACAAAGTTTACCAGATGTCAGTTTGAGTAGGATTCTTTCTGTCCAGCCTTGTACTCCCAATATTCATTTAGAAGATCTTTTTCCTCTTCATAAAGATGTACCATAGCACAGTAAACTAATCCTCCAGTAAGTCTCCTCATATCTGGAATTGGGCATGTGGCGAGATTTTCAAACAAGACTTCTTTATTTGAAAATTGAGAAATTAACCATTTGCATGCTTTGATGCTCTTATTGAGATAAGCTTTTATCAAGTCTAGGAGTTCAGGAACCAATTCCTTTGGCAATGATCTTTGCTTTACAGTAAGATAGAAAGTAGTCACATGCTTGAATATCTCAAACTCTGTTGAATCAATCATCTCTCCTCCATACTTCTGATATATGTCAATTGACTCTGAAGGGAGAAGAATCTTTTCAGTGTAGAATTTAATGCTTTTATTAGCAGAAAAATGTTTAGACAAATTAGCTCTCATCATTTCACTTGCTTTGTTCACTTCCTCTTTAAAAGCTGCCTCATTAATTCCTTTCTGCTTATAGTCTCTATTCCTTGTATCATAATTATAGAGAGTTACATTTCTGGTATTCCACAAAGAGCAAAGTTCAAGAATAAATTCACTGTATTGAGAAGAGAACATAAATCTTGATTGCCAGTATTTTCTATTATCTTCTTCCACCATATCTCCAATCTCATCTGGAACCTTCATAGTGTTCTTCCTTGCAAGGATAAGCTCGGAACCTTCTTCATTATTCTCAGAGTCCATCACAATATCAGACTCTTCTTGGTTTTCAGCTGGTTGAGCCGGTTCCTCTTCATCTTCATTCTCGTAAGGGATGTCTTCTTTTGAAACCCTTTCGTAAAAAAGTACATAGGCATTTCTGTTTTTCTCTGTGGTTTTCATTGAAAGGAAGTGGCTAAAATGGCTATCTCCCCATTTTTCTTCTCCACCAAAGCACTCTGACTCAAGATCTTCCTTGTCAAAGTCTCTGACAGACTCATCGTTGAACTCATACCATCTCTCTTCATCAGTAAGCTCTCTATCTTTAATGAAGGAGTAGTAATGACCTCCTTCAGCGTATCCTGAATGAACTAATACTCCAGAGAGTTTGTATTCATAAAGTTCAAGAGGATATTTAGGCTCTAATGGAGGTTCTTCATCAGCGTCATCCTTCTTCTCATCTCTTTTAGCTTGTTCTTCTCTCCTTTTGAGTCCTTCTTGAGTGTAAGGTTCCATATTTATTGATTCTGGGAATTCACAGTAATCGTTGACCTTTAATTTCTGCATGTAATTATAATCAAACTCAAATCTTTTCATAACCATGATCAAGTGCTTTGGAAGCTTTTTGATACAAGTACGCTTGAGAGTTGAAACTTTCTTGTCACATTTCTCACAATAGTAGGCATTATCTCCATCAAGCATTTCTCCTTCAATAAGAGCTTCCAAACTGTCTTTCATACTCTTCTTGTTCTTGACTTGAAGATTAATAGCGAGGTAGGGCTCCTTGGACTCTGAATAATGTGGGCAGCCTTTGCAGATGAGCTCATTTGCATATTGCCCACCAAAGTGATCCTGAATCATCTTCTCTTGTTTAGATCCTTTAATAGCAAATTCAAGCTTGTCCATGAACATATTGAAAAATTCATCAACGTCCATTTGGATAAGGACATTAGTGGGATTTCCATCCCAATCTTTAAAAGCATTAGTGAATCCTTGAGGATTGAAATATTGCTGTTCTGATTGATTCAAGAATGCAAAAATGCACTGAAGTTGGAATAACAAATTGTTTTCCTTTGGAATTTCATCTTTCTTGGGGTCTTCAACAGCAAGAATATTCTCTCTAAATGAAGGAATCATGTAGAGTTGTTGAAGCATTGAAATCATATAGCAGATGCATCCTAAGTTCTTAATTCCGACATATCCAGTTTGGGACTTTTCATCTGTATGAGGAGATATCGTCCAGTCGCAGTACATTTTAGTTCTCCATCCTGATTTTTCTTGTAATAAGTAGAGGAAAGTCAAAACAATCTGAATATTTTCAAGATTGTCTCTACAAAGAGCATTAATAAGACTAAAAGCCATCACTCTTGTGTTTGAATATTTACATTTTGGAGGTCTCACCTTCTTCATGCTTCCTGCTGATTTTGGCACTTCAAATAAGCATTGATGAAGGACATATCTTAAAAGAATTTTTCCATACTTATCCTTGTAATGAGGGAACTGCTGAATAATAAGCTTAATATGGCTCAGAGCTCCATAAAGAATGTGATCAAAATCCGCAGAACTCTTTTCAGCTGTTTCTTTCTCAAATATAATCTTTACATTTTTCTTCAAGATCTCTTCAAAATCAATATTCATTCTCACCAATTGGTAATTTGCTGTCTGTGAAAGGATATTTGATACTATTTCTACTGCTTTATAAGACCTAGTGTGATTCTCTTCAATTACATCATCCATATCATAAACAAGTTTAAGAAGAATAGCTTTCTTAAACTCTAAGAACATCTGGGAATCATTCTGCACGTTAGAACATACTTCAGTGATGCTTTCTCCAAAGCTATTTCTGAGATAAAAGTTGTCAGTCACAAGCAGGATATTCTTAAGTAGTTCTGTCAGATCTGGGAACTCAATGAATTGCTGAACTCAAATCTCATTATTGAAGCAATCTAAGTAGTAGAATAGTTTAAAAGCAAGGGAAATGAACTTGCCACCCTCCTCAAATTTCTTATTGAGCTCATTAATCTGACGAGAATAGGTATTCTGCTCGTCTTGATCATTCTCACTCTTTGATTTGTCATAGTAGGAGAGCAGTCTCATACTCTGCTGTTCTAGCTTCTTATTCTTATAATAAATATCATCATAAGAGCTCCCTCTTTTCTTGCACTCATTTATAGAGTTGACAGTGATCTGATGAATAATCCTAAGCATTTTGTCAATTGCCATAATTGAATTCTCTTTGAAAATATTTAGTAGATCAGGAGCTCCTTCAACATCTGTCATTTGGGGTTGCTTCTCCATTGAGGAACAGATAAGTCTACATAGAATATCTACTGACTTAAAAGAAAGATTAGAAACAATCTTAGATGGGTCAATTTTCAATAAAGTGAAGAATAAATGCTGATATCCTCCTATCATATAGAACTTAGTAAGCCATTCCTTATCTGTCTCTTGTGATTTGTTACTGATAATTTGCAAAGAATGTAGCATCTTATGCAAAGAGTGTCCGTCAATTAGTTCATTCCATTCCTCTTCAGTATTAATGTCAAGTTTGTTTAGCTTAACAACTGTTGGGATCTCATCTTGTGGAAGCTTCATGATCAATTTCCAGATATTATCGACATCATAATCTTCATCATTAGAGAGAAGTTCAAACATCAGATTGAAAAATTCTTGGTTGCCTACTAAGAGATTTTTAGGATGGGACCCTTGAGAGTCTTGGACAGCTTTCTTGACTAAAAAGACTTCATTAAAGCCAATTTCTTTAATAGCAGTTTCATTTTGTTCTGCTCCAAGAGGTTTTCCATTAACATAAACTGAAAATTCATTAAGACCAAAGTCAAATGCCTGAGCAATCTTTCTTCTAGCGAAGAGCAGATTTTCTAAGTAAGGGATCTGAATTGACTTATAAGTGCTATCATCAGCGCAGTAAACACGGATAGGGAAAGTTGTCCCACTGCTTACATCTTCAAGATCCATATTCTTTCCCTCAAAGGTATCGAAGAGCTTGTTCAAAGCAAGTATAGCAGAGTTTGTAATAGCTTTGTTGTCTGTTTTTAAGTTTTCAAGACATTTGTCAACGAAGATTGCCCAAATTTTCTCTCTGTCTTCTTGCTCAAATCTTTGAGGATGAAGGTTTATATGAAGACAGCAAAGAAGATAAAGACATTCTTCCTTTACTTTAGAATCTTGGCAGAGTAAAACTATCTCCCAGAGACTGTCCATTCCTTTGATATCATCAAAAGAGAAGACTTTATACATTCTTCCATTATAAGTGATGTACCTATTTCCTAGTCTAAAATACTTCTTAAAGCACTTGAAACAGTTCAGAGAAATATCCTTCTTTTGTACATACTCATTCTTACAAAGAATTTGCTCAAATAAAAATGTTCTCTCTTCCTCAGTAAAGAGTGATTGGTTCGAGCTAGACACCACTGATGAGGAAAAAGTAGAACTTTCTTTTCAAAGCCACTTAAAGAAAGTATTCTTATCGAACTCAATGCTCGAATTACTGACAAAGATATTCCACAGCTTTTGAATATTCTCAGTTCCAATTTGAACTTTTTCTTCAGATACTGAAACAACATTTTCGATGAATTCAAGAAGTTTGTCCAGTTGTTCAGCATGTGTTACATTTCCTTCGAATTTAGTCTTGGATATATTTTCAGGAACAAGTCCTTTATCAATCGAAACAACCATTTCTTTTTGGACTAGTGTATTATACCTCTCAATGTTTTTGATAGTGAGTCCAATAAAATCAAATTGATCATCTAGCTTTCTGATAGCAACCTCAGAGTTGAGCTCAATCTCAAAAGATCTGTAGTTGAAGGCTAGGTTGAATATACTCATGAAGATGCTGATGGATTGATATACTGCAACTCCATTCATCATGTTTTTGATGCACTTAAGAATATATGAAGCTTTGCATGCATCTGAGGTACTCTCTTTTAATAAGTCAATAAATTGAGATAGAGTATGGCCTCCTAATTCAGAGTTTTGTTGAAGAATTTCGAATAGGATTGGGAGTCCAAACTCAGGAATTTCAATTTCGGGAGGTGCTACGCTTCCTTCGATAATGCCTTTAGCATTGTCAATATAGAATTCATTGACTTTGCTCTCATCTTCTTCATTATCTGAATTGATATCAGCAACTTCAGTTCCTCTCAAGCTCCTGTAAACATCAAAGCTCTTAACTGTGAATTCTTTCACGAACTTTACAGTTTGTTCATTATATTTCTTGACCGGCATTGAATTGATTTTTTCGAAGAGATAAGAAATAGATTCTTTGTTGAGATAGCTAGCAATTTCATTGATAGTCTCATACACTCCAAGCACAGTAGCCTCATGCTTATCTTCTTGAGATTTCCACAACAATTCTAGATGTTCTACAGTTAAGTGATTATGATTAGCCAAGAAAATCAAGAGGGAAGCTGATCTCTTGATCACTTCAACATGTGAACTTTCTCCAAGCAAGTATTCAACAAGTTTATTCTCCTCGACCCAATTAATCAAATACTCAGGCTTGAGCCATCTTGATCTAATCCTTGGTGAGTCATCATCTTGCCATTTATGATGTACCATTCTTGAACTAATTCTTTCTGTAGATCTTACGATAGATTTGATCTCATTGATACCAGTCAGCCTCTTCTTCATCTCAGGAGATTTCAAAAATCTTAAGGCAAGTCCAAGCTTTACTGACTCAAGTTTCTCATCCACAACTTCTTCTGGAAGCCCAAGACAAAGGAAGTCTCTGAAATCACTCATGATACTGTGAATTGTGGTCTTGTCTACTTCCTTCATAGATTCATCTGACATGTTCTGCAGCCTTCCAACAATTATCGACTGGAGTTCTTCTGCCATCTCTTTAGTGTACTCAGAATTCAAGATGTTAGAACAAGCTCTGAATGGGGAAGTAAACTCTGGGATTAACTCTAGTGGAAGAGTGGGGCTTTCGTCATGAGGGACTACCATTTGCAGTACTTTTCTTAAGGAATCAAACCCTCCATGAAATTGGAAGTGGTCTAAGAATTCGTAGAACAATCCAAACCCAAGGTTGTTATTTCTAAAAATCATTTCTCTTAAATCTTCATAGTCTATTTCATCGCTAAGGAACCTATCTTGGTCAGAATTTCTCTTTTCGTAAGGACCACAAATAGAAGTTTTAGGTTCTTCAGGATCTCTGTCGTGTTTAATATAATATCTGAGACATCTAGGATTTCCTCAGAAAACAGTTTTTAGCATTTCAATAAACTCTTTGTAGCACAAAGCAATGGATACATTCTCATCAACAAGATACAAATCTGAGCAAAGTTTCGCTTCGTCAAACTTTTCAACCAGATTAGGAACCACCTTCAAGTATGTGCATACAAGTTCAAGGCATTTCTTAATAAAAGGAACAGATATTTCCAAAAGCTCATCGTCATCTTTTTCATAGATTCTTCCCATGATTGTATCCAAAGCAACAAAGATAGTACCTCTGTAGAATTGAGTTGTCTCGATAGCTCCTAGTCCTTTCAAGTCGTTCTCGATGCAAGCATCTATCTTAGCCATGAATCCCTTGTAGTTCTCAAGAGTATACTCTCCCTTTCTCATTGCAATTTTCGTTTGGCCAGTGTATCCTACCGAGTTATTTTCTGAAAGGAGCCACTTTATATGAACCAATCTTCATCCAGTCATCCCATTTACTAGGCCATCCGTCATAATGAACCTTTATGTTACTATCTTCAATCTCTTCAACAGTTGACATTAACCAGGAGTTAATTGTATCAATAGCATCTATCCAGATTCCTGGCTTGAGCGTTCCATATGGGTTCTCACAATTCTTAGCTAATTGTATCCTTCTTTCCAAAGGTAAATCTTCTACAGGGATACCTTCTTCATCTTGTGGTCTTACTAAATCCTCTGTCTGAACAATGCTTTCATCCTGAGGAGTTTCATCAAAAAGTTTTTCATCAGCCTCAAAATCTGCAACCAATTTTTGAATTTCAGCCTCGTCAGCCATATCTTCAAATAAATTAATGTATATGTTTCTACCGAAAATCTGTTTTATGGGGTTTTGGGGTTTTGGGGTTTTGGGGTTTTGGGGTTTTGGGG